AACTTAAAAAGCATTGACTATCATCTGTTTCACTCTCTCTTGTGTATCATACTTTGTTAGTTAAGTTAATGGGAAAGTTTTCAGTGGATATAAAAAGAGCTATATTATGACAATGATTTACTGTAACTGCACCGAATAGTCAGTTTCCTTGTGCATCTTTACTGTGTTTGTGATTTGCATGTCTGTGTACAACTTCAGAATTGGTATAATGTAAGGGTATTTTCTGCATCTCCTTGGTAACTCTGCGGATCCAGGAAGAACTTGTTAGGTGCCTGGGCCTTTGGTATGGGAAGGAGTTTCAGCTTTCTTCTGGGTATTCGCGAACTCCTTTTTATTCATACCTACCTGGGTACGAGAATTCTTTTGAACGAACCGTGGTGTACGACTTATCAGACTCCTCCTGTAGATAATATCCTTTACTTGTATTTCTAGAACTGGGATATCTTTAATACTAGAAAAAATACAGTACATCATTGTAGAAAATGTTTAGAGAATTCATTTCATAAGTACTGTAGCATCATTGCCATTATGATCATTGTTGATATATATAATTGTTATGGTCGGGAAAATAGAATTTGGGAAGTAGTCTACGGCAGTTATAAAGAGAACTTATTCTGTGCACAGTTGTCCATAGAATTAGTGGGAAGAAAAATATATAGAGGAAAATATCTTCATTCGAGTTGCATGTGAAACATTCCAGTTGTATGTGAAGATGATCGAGGTGACGTTTGAAAAAAATTGAAAAACAGTGAGTAGTGGTATACTAATATTGGTGGGAAGCATTTGGTTTGTGCTTCTTTTGTTTTCTTTTTCTTTTTACTGTTAGTGTTTGTCAGAACTTGGATCAGAGTATTGAAAGACACTGTTTACTTTCATTGTCTTCAAAGTTACTTTTTAAAAATTGTACTTATACCAGTTGTAGGTTTCATTTTCATCTTTGCTTCTGCTTCCTCTTCCTCTTCCTCTTCCCCTTGTACTTTTCTCCTCCTTTTTATCCTTTATTCCTTTTCTTCCTCTTCCCCTTCTACTCTTCTCCTTCTCTTTATCCTGGTTCCTTTTCTTCCGCTTCCCTCTCCTGTTATCCCGTAACTACTCTCTATATAACATTTTTCTCAGCAGAGCAGGGAATTTGAAAGTTAATTACCTAAGGAATTTGTGTGCAGTTCATTTATTTTGTTGACATGCAAACTGGATTACATGAAAAGTTGATTTAATACTATCTCTTGATTTATATTGTGGTATTATGGCACTGCCAACCAGTGAAGAAAAGTCTTGATGATTTTCAAAATCTAACAGTATATGCAGGGGATTGGAGTGTACTTAGTGTTTGTGAGGGACAGGAACAACTAAAGCATTTGAAGAATATATTGTATGTCTAATGTAAAGCATAATGATGAGCCTAGGTCTAATTAATCACTAATAAAAGAAAAAAAAAACTACTTGCATTTTCTGTAAGCTTTGAACTCATATACATTTATATATATACATATCTACACATGAAGAAAAGTCACAAGTACACACAGTACTCTTATTATTTCCATCTAAACACCGCACGTTTTTTGAGTGCTTTTACTGACTTTGCTCTAAGTTCACACTACATGTATAAAGAGTATCCAAATTTTGATTTTGTAATATATATAAGCTGTTAGATGTAAATTAGTTGCAAAAGGAAATCCCACCCAGTCGTTTAGGTTGTCCTAAGGGTCCCTAAATTTTGTCAACTGTTGTCCATCATCGCTGCCACAGTATATGGTTTGATGCCTGAGGAACCCTGCCAAGGAACCTTTACATGTGGGAAAAACCATCATTGCATCGGCAGTGTTACATTTCTCCTCCATCCAGTAGAAGCACAAGAGATCATCAAAATGACATGCTTAATAACTTCAGATCTTTTCTTTTTTATATATACATATATTTTCCTCTCGTTTATCTTTTCTTCAGGTCTTATTCTCGTTCTTCCATTTTAACTTGACAAAAAAGAAAAAAAAAAAGACAATTTCTCCCCCTCTATACATGATGCTGCAGTTTTACATTGATATTCTGTCTGCAGTTAATGCACCTTGTTCTATGTGTCATGAGGATGATGGGTAGAATTATGCTAATGGTATCGTGTATATATTATAAGTAAAAGTTCTGTAATTCATGTGTATATATATAGTGTCCAAATTTTCCATTCAAGCTTTCTGCAATATAGTAATCATCACGGTTGAATGAAGGTAATGCATGCTGTTCTAGTTTCTCCTCTGGAAGCACGATTATATATCATCATCTTTAGAAAACTTCTAATCCAATCTCAAGAGCAATTGCAAATCAAATATAAGCATTGTTCTCTGCCGTCATCCTCACTTTGTGTCTTACGACTTTACTGGAGAACTAACTATGAGGTGTCGTCAGTCTGTAGGCCTTGTATATAAGATGAAAGTTACTGTTGATTATGAAGATGATACCCAATATGCATGTAACGAAACTGTAGAGAGAATATAAAAGTCCCACCATTTCA